TTAATTTGCTTAGAAACTAATGAATGCTCTACAGCCTTTCTGGTCTACGTTGGACACGCATTATACATTGAAACAGTCCCTGTACCTAACTTTGTGGAAGCTATGCAACAACCGAATTACATATCGACAGCTCTCTGATCGATTCAACGTTGGAAAGGGGACAGCTCACAAACTTTTTTTCAAAACCATTAAAGCAGTATGGCGCCTTAGAAATGAAATTTGTTGGCCTACGGTTACCGAACAGCAGGACGTTATGGAAAGATTCCAGGCGAAAAGACCAAACTCGTTCCCCTTTGTTGTTGGATGTGTGGATGGAATCCACTTCATAATAAATTCCCCGAAAAACGACGCAATCAGCTACTACGATCGCAAGGGACACTTCAATAATAATGCAGGTAGAAGAATTTAGACAGTCTGGTCATGTATAGTGCATATGTAAATCTTTTAACTTATTTTGTCGCTTTAGGCTATATGCGATAGCAATCTTCGATTTTTGGATGTCTTCATTGGCTATCCTGGAAGTTGCCACGACGCCAACGTTTGGAAAAATAGCCCAATTTATCAAAAGATCACGTCGGGCGAAGTTCAGCTTGCTAGCGGGGCCATAATATTAGCAGATTCCGCTTATCCGCTAACAAAATATTTAATGGTCCCATATAGGGATAATGGGCATCTTTCTACGGAAGAGAAAAGATTTAACTACTACCTTAGTTCCACACGAGTATTAATAGAGCAGGCTTTCGGCGTTTTGAGACAAAAATTTAGAATATTAAATCACATCGATGTATCATCTATAAAGGATGCTTCAAAAATTGTAATGGCCTGTACTATACTACACAATTTTATAATAGAGCATGAAGGCGGTCTAGGTTCAATGGATTCTTTGGAAAACAACTTAGAACAAAATATATCTGACAATGCTGGCGCAATAGAAGTTATCGAAAACATTAACGAGAATAGGGAAGGAATTATAAGAAGAAACGAAATAAAAATGTTATTTTCATTTTAAAGTTTTCGTTTATTAATTAATAAAAAAAGATTAACAAAACAAATGCTTATAGCATAAACATTAATTCATTTGAGATCATAAGTTTGAGTTCAGTAGTAAGTGTTATATTATTATTATTTTATAATAAAGCATGTTTATGATCGCTTCTCTAAAATTTCTCTTAACGCATTTAGTACGCCAATTTTTTCCTTTTCTATTTCTAACTTCGCTCTCTCCAGCTGCATTAGTTCCTCATGGCGTTTTTGCTCTTGACTAGCCTCTGTCTTTAAATATAATAATGTTTCGTTCGTTGGTTTTCTGGAGCGCTTCCTTGCGCTTCCAGCGTAGCTATCCGATTCGCCTTCGCTCTCCTCACATGGGGGACGTGCCAAGGAGGACTCCAAATTTTTCACAGGAGGTTGGATTGAATGTCGGCTCCCATAAACAGCGTCAAACTCGTCAAAATACTCCCAGCTGGTAGCATCCCTTCCTGTTTCTTTGTTCCGCTTCTTTATCCTCTTGTACGATGCCAATAAGTTTAAAAATTTTCTCTGGAGTAGCTCTTTAGAATCCGGAACTTCGGGATTCACGGCCTTCATGGCCTCTAGGACTTTACCCCAAAGAAATAATTTTTTCTTTTTGCCGGCAGCAAATTCAGCCTCCATGTCCAGTCGGCATCGTACCAAAAGTTTATTAAGAGCGGAACCCAGTCTTTCGCTGCAAAAAAGTAAAGAGACATAATAATCAAAACTATTTGCAACCTATCTATATTATAGATCTTCATATGATACGAAATAAATCACAATTATGCTTACCTTTCTTCTTCCATTGTGTTGTGCAAACGAAAATTTTTTGTTGCCGGTTATTTCAATAATTTGCGCTCATCAAGTGTCAACAGAACGTGTGACTTTTGCAAGTGTTGCCACATATTCGCGCCGAACGTAATACTTTGGCAAAATTTGCAACACTGCTGCTGTGATTGCCATCTCGAACGCACCCATAATGGCCAGTGGCGGATTTAAGAAAAAGGGCCCTGTCAGCAGTGTTGCCGTTTTAGACCTTTGGTGGCTGGATTTAGCTACCACATACTTTTTTTGGCCCCATAAATTTAAAATTGCACCTAGCCCTTTTTAGCCCTTTGGAGAATTTACTTATACTTGGCATGAAAAAGTTGTATATGCTTAATTTGATCTATTTTTTTCATTTATGTAAGAGATGAATTTTTAAACTAAGAAAGACTGATACACATATGTACGTATAGTTTAAAATACATAAGTTTACGGCCCTTAATATGCTTAATTTGTTAAATGGCCCATCAAGTCGATTGACTGTGTATGTTCTTGTGGTGTGATTGTACCAGCTGCTGGTGTCGTGAGTGGTAAATTAGTTAAATTTTCTAAGTAAAAAGTATTTTGGCGGAAATTTCTTGCACTATGTGAGTCAAAGCCGTGTTTGTGGAAGATTAAGTTCACGATATTGCAGTTGTGAATTAAAAAAAAAAAAACAATGTTTAACAAAATGGTAGAAAAATTATGAAATTTCATCTTTAATTATTTCGATCTTTCCTCGACCTCATGTGTAAGGAAAAAAATATTGTACCAGCATGCTGGTAAGTTATATGCTTCGAGCCTGATGGTACAATCACTTGATGGAGCCAGCAAGCTGGTGTCGTATATTTCCCCTTTTATACAAAAAGGTTTTTGGTTGGATAAAATATTTACTTTTTTCCACTGCCTGTCAGCAATTTCCAGTTTTGTAGTATATATCATTAACCAACAAATATTTTCGGTATGGCAAACAATTTTTATTGAAGACAAAAGGTTTCATTATGCAACTTTGAATCCGCGTTTTGCTTTTTGTTAGCAAATATTTCCATTGCGGGATTCAAATTCACGTAGTTTGCCACTAATCTTTTAATATAAAGGATAAAGAAATTATTGAGTGTGTTTTCAGCTAAAGAACCAGGGCGCTATTCTTTAACGGTTTTTAAAGAGTTCATAACACGTTCAGGATTAGCTGAACCTATAGGTAAAGTCAAAATCAATCTGAACAAACTGCAGCATTCGGGAAAACCTTCCATTATATTGTCAATATTATTGTGGCTTATTAACATTTTATTTTAATATTGTTATTGAGCTTTGTACCGCGACTGTGTTTATTAGGAAAAATGGAAAAGCAACAAACTTTAAGCGGTAGAAGTTATAGCTAAGTCAGAATTTCTGAAACGAGCCACTTCATTTATGTGATATTTTATTTCCAATTCTTCTTCTTATTT